AAAAAAAAAAAAAAAAAAAAAACTCAGAAAAAATGGAAAAGCATAAAAAGAAAATTAATACAACACAGGTTCCTCTTCATAATTCCCAATACTAACAATGGATGTTTTTATTATGCATTGCCCAGATGCACAGCTATAAATGTGTTATATTTTTTACAACTTTGGTATTCTACTGAATATTGGGGTTTATAACCCATTCTTTTTATTTGATGACATATTATAAATACTTTCTCATCATTAAGGACTTTTCTACAAAATCATTTAATTTCATAGTGGAAATTATACTTCTTTGAAGGGCTACACTAAGAGAAGTTGAATGAATTCCCTCTTAAAAGACACCCTCTTAGGTTTTTTTTTTTTTTTTTTTAAAGGTTTTGTGTTATAATCAATGGTGCTATGAATACGGTTGCAGTTAATCTTTGGGCTGGTTCATGCTTGCTTATTTCCCCAGCATAAATCCCCAGCAGTAAATCAGTGAGTTTAATTTATGCACAATTGACAACCTGTCCTCTGGACAGGCTGGATCAATACCTACTCCTCAGCAGTGTTTGAGTGTATGTTTGACAACAGGACATAGTAGAAGAAAATGAATCCTCCCCAGATTTATAATGTGATATATCTGTGCTTGCCTAGTGTGCTCAAGTCAATCAGTTCAACTCTTAGAACTGCAAGAGAAAACAGGTATTGTTATTTGTATTTATATAATCCTTGTGTTACCTCTAATTGATCAAAGGAGCAAATATAAAGTACACAATTATCAAGTAAAATAAGCTATTATGTGGTTTCCAAAGAGGAGTAGGTAATTAACACAACTGCCCATGCATTTGGAAAAAAGAAAAATTCTCTTGAAGTATTTTCATAAATCTTCTGGCCATTCATGCTTCTAGTTCTGAAATTGCTTACTTATGCTCTTTACCAACTTCACTTTAAAAAAAAAAAATTCAAGACAGGGTTTCCTGTGTAGCTCTGACTGTCCTGAAACTCATTCTGTAGACCAGGCTGGCCTCAAACTCAGAGATCATCCTGCCTCTGCCTCCCGAGTGCTGGGATTAAAGGCCTGCGCCACCACTGCCAACCACCAACTTCACATTTAGTGTGACTGCATTTTCTTATAAATAAATATTCCTTTATGTTGCAATCTTGAATTCCTTATATTTTCACAAATGATGCCAATATTGTCTCAAAGTTTATGTGTATCATTTAAACGTATTGATAGATTTTGTTTGTTTGCTTGCTTGAGAAGGGGTCTGTGTTACTCAGGCTGGCCTCCAACTTCTGAGCTCACGTGATCCCCCGGCTCCCTGACTCTCAAGTACCTGGGACTTCAGTGGCTTGTGGATTTTTTTTTTTAATGTAGAAAGTTGAAAAATGTTTTTTAATGGGGCTGGAGAGGTGGCTCAGAGGTTAGGAGCATATACTACTTTTGCACAGGACCTGAGTTCAGTTCCCAGGATCATGTCAGGTAGCTCAACTGTTTATGAATCCAGCTCCAGGATGATCCAATGCCTCTAGCCTCTGTGGAAGACTGAACTCACGTACACCCTCTCCCTCACAACACACATATTAAACAAATCTTAAAAATTAAAATTATGTTTATTTACTTGTGTGTACATGTGCATATGTGTACATGCATCTGTACCATACCACACAGGAGGAGGTCATAAGACAACTTGTGAGAGTCAGTTCTCTCTTTTCATTACCCTAAGCAGGTCCTGGGGATTGAACTCAGGACATCACGTCTGAGGGCTGACCCAGATACTTTTTAAAATGGCATTTATTTTTATATCCACTGACTGTCTTTATTCTGGACCCTGCTTTTACAGGAACTTTGGGTGGGGCAGTAAGTGTAGTTCAGTGGTAGAAGCACGTGTCTAACATGTGTAAGGTCCTGGGTTCCATCTCAATCAGTCTCCTTCACACAGATTCTTGTGTCTGTCCTTTGGTGCTGTTCTGGTTTGTTCTTGGAGCCGGGCTGAATTGTTGAGGAGAAGGAAATAGCTACAACGGAGTCCAGCTCTCTTCTCTTCTCTTAGGGAGAGGCAGAAAGTTTTCCTTTCTATTTCCTATAATCTTTCTCCCATCAAAATATGTAAAGGTGGGAAGTCTAGTTTCTCAATTGATCAGTATTAAGAGATGTGACAAAGGGCCTTTTTTCTTTAAAAAAAAAAAAAAAGGTGTGGGGAGTGAAGGCCTTACATTTCCCAGAAACTAAGGGATTAAAGGACTATTGAAATCTGGGAGACAGACTGGAGAAAGGGCTCAATAGTTAAGGGCATTTGTGGCTCTTGCATAGGAGCCAAGTTTCTAGTACTCATTTCAGGCAGCTCACAACTGCTTATGCTCTAGCTCCAGGGGATCAAGGCCAGCCTGGTTTACATTGCAAGTTCTAAGTCAGTCAGAGCTAGCTAGCGAGACCCTGTGCAAAAGTAAATAAATAAATAGGACCAAAAGTCTCTTAGAAATCCACTGAGGTTGGCTTGAGGATCTCTCCCATTCCAAAATCTCACTGCTAGTCAAACATCTGAAGTTTCTGTAAAGAAGAGTCCATCCAGGTGTGGTGGTTCTACATATTTTAAACCCCAGCACTTGGGAGGCAGAGAGGCAAGTGGATATCTATGAATTTGAGGCCAGCCTGATCTACATAGTGAGTTCCAGGGAGTAGGGAGTACATAGTAAGACCCTGTCTCAAGGCTCGGGGGGGG